ATCTACCAACTCTTGAGATTTCTAAGCCAACTGACCCAGCGATCACACTTGTATAAATACAATCTGTAGAAAACGGGCAACAAATTTAATGTTCAAAGAGCATGTACTTGTTACATTGCTGAGTACTCTGTACAACTATGTGAGACATATTATCCAGTTACTATTGCTATAACAAACTCTCCCAAACTTAGTGACTTAAGGCAACCACCAAAAGTCAGACAAGGCACAGTGAGATGGCCTGGTCTCTTCTCCAGGAGCCTGAAAGCTCAGCTGTCAGGACTCGGCATTCGTTGAGGTATTTGTCTGTGGGAACATTCAACCACGGCACCTACATGGGACCTGGACCTGGGGTTCTTCAGAAAAATGATAGGCTCAGAATAGCCCCATATTACATGCTGACTCAGGGCTCCAAAAGTAGATATTTCCTCAAACAATGGAGAGACTGCATTGCCTCTCCTGATCTAGCTTGACAAGACAGAGTTGCTTCTGAAAATTTCTACTGTCACAAGTCTGCCCAGATTCAAGGGGAAGGGACACAGACCTTGTCTCTCAATGTCAAAGTCACATGGTAAGACCATGAAAATACACAGGAAATGATCTCAAAAGATATGTAGCAAACTGTTAAGAACTGTTAGCTCCAAGGAACAGAGTGAGATTATAGTTGTAGGAGATGGATGAGACTCTTTACTCTTCCTATAATGAGAAGACACTTCCCAATGAGGCCCCAGTTGAGATATATAAAGGACAAGAGCATGTGAAAACTGGAAGTCTGGAAAACTGCATGCAAATAAAATAGGGCATGAGACATGATCTGGTGCCAATCAAACCACCTCAGCCAAATTTCTAAGAAGCACGATCTAATTACTCAAAGGTCAAGAAACCACGAAGACAAGTGGAAAACATCCAAATGAATGTCCTGATACTTGAGCTAGGCAATCCATCTGTGGCCAGACTTCTGTTGGTAAAGAAGCGGGGACCCTAACAACTCAAAAGCTTCTGTGCTTCCTGTTTTGTTTTGTATCACTTTAAAGTACAGTTTTCTCTCAACTCTAGTAACAGGGGGGAAAAAAGGATATTTTCTACCTATGATGATTTTTTGGACCATGTTCTACTCCAGATCTAGATTTAGATTACAGGTGGAGCTATAAGCTAGAATAAAGGAAGCATGGTAACAAGTGGGGGGTTCTTATCGAATTTAAATATTTTCAACTGAAATTATTCAAGTGAATTTATGCACACAGACTAAGTCTTCAGTAGAAGCTTATTACGAAAGTTAGGATTGATAACATTGTGGTGAATACCAAGACTTATGGTGAAAATGAAGTAAGGAAGACAGTGAGGTAGTAGTTCAGGATGACTCTATGGAACAGAAATGAGAGCCCAGAGATAGTCCCACATTTATATGGTCATTTGATTTGTGACAGAGGCCAAAGTAATCCAATAAGGAAAGGAAAGGGGGAAAAATATGAGGCGAGGGGAGAAAGAACCCAATTATTACCTCATAGCATACATAAAAGTTTACACTGAGGTGGATAACAGACACAGAAAAGTTAAAACTGTAAAACTTCCAGTCTAGAAGAAAGCACTGGAGTATATTTCTGTGACTCAAAAGAAAGGAAGAATTCCATTAAAGAGCACATAGAAAGCAATAACACAAAAAAAGTAGAGAAATTTAAATTTAAAAATCCCTCCTTTTAAAAAATTTATTTATTTTTAATTGAAGGATAATTGCTTTACAATACTGTGTTGGTTTCTGCCATATATCAACATCAATCAACCATATAACAATTTCTCTTTTAAAGACATGTTAAGAAAATGAATAGGCTATCCACAAACTAGAGGAAAAAAAGCACACACTAGATAAAGAAACAGTGTCCAGGATATTTTTAAGAATAACTCAATAATAAAAGACAAACAAACCCAAACAACTCAGGACACTAAAGCAAGAGTCAAGAGATGCTCAGTGTAGAAAAACATCTAGAGACTTGAAGAAACAGTTAACTCGATACCACTGCCACCCCACAGTTTACCCAAACTCTGTATACAATGAAAGAATCATTAAATGTTTTTAAAAGGTAACATTAACTGGCATATAGGCACACCCATAAGAAAATCTGATACAAAAATAAATATTTCCTTCCATCCATTTATCTCATCCTAATTACCTCTTCAAAGGGTGCGGGTAATAATAATTCATTTACACATAAGGCTGATCTACTATTTTTTATTTCATAGCCTTTTAAAAAATATAAACCACAAAGTATTTTGAAAAACGACATGGAATAACCATTTAGCAGCCACAGTATTACAAAAATAAAGTAACAGAATGAACTGCACAACAGAATCTCTACTGACTACGACAAGGAACACATAATGTTCACTAGGAAAGTGAAGTGACCAGCACCACCACTTTCCCATCATCAGTTATCACTAAAATCAATCACAGGACCTATTCCCAGAAGACCATTCTATTCACACAGGAACACATACAAATACATATGTTCAATGTGTAAATGTCAAGTAACATCTGAATTTAGTTCCAAAATACCAGTTTTCCTCTTTGTCTGGGAGACAAGTTTGATGGCAAGGTGGAATAGTGAAGACCATGGAATGCCAAGTATACAACTTATTCAACCACCCCCTCCCCACCCACACACACACCCAGCAAGTTCTAAAACACAAGAAAGAGAAAGGTTTGTCTACAACACTAGTCACTAGCCACATGTGGCTATTTACATTTAAAGTATTTAAAATTAAATAACATTAAAATTTACTTCCTCAATCACAGTAGTGACATTTCAGTCGTTCACTAGCCACAGGTGGCTAGTGGCTACTGTATTAGACACTGCAGATACAGAACATTTCTGTCATCACAGAAAGTTCTTTTGCACAGCCCTGGATGTGGGAAGTGTTTCTTCTCTCTTTGCTCAGCCAGGATGTAGGCTGTTTATGGAGGCAGCTCCGAGAAGCAATTCTTCTATGATATTCCTAGATGAGGTGGTGGAGACACAGCAGGGAGTAAAGTAGCCTTTCTTTACATGATTACCCTCCCCTGTACATGAAAAGAGTGATCCTTTTATGGGGATCAAATACACAACTAGACTGCACCAAAAATTTTTAGGAAGATGAGAGAAAAGATAAACAACGCAGATGTGGAAGCAGCAAGGTACAACATTCCTCATCTCATTTCAAGCCTCCAAGAAGCAAGCACGTCCTCCGAGAAAGTCCAAGAGTTGGTTCCCAGGGTCCTTGTCTGGAGACACCTGATGGGGACAGGTACACCGGCTGAGACAGCAGTCAGTGCTGTGAGTGTTTCACCAGAAAACCTGGCCTGTCTTCACTCTGGTCACTCTCAGACCACAGCAGTCTGCTTGGAGTGCTCCAGTTGTGAAGGAGCTGCCGTTTTGAACATCTCAAATGTTATGCCTCTTTACCACTGTATTTTGTATTTGGGGCACAGACTACAAGTTGTTCACCCAAGATACACCGTTACCTTCTTTCTTATGAAGAGAACTCAGATTTTTGTTGAAGGTGGTTACATGTCCACCTACAAAAACTACATTTCTCAGGCATCTTTAGAGATAGCAGGGGCCAATGACACCATCTGGCCAATGAGATGTGAGCAAAAGTTGTTGGACTGCGGAGAAAGCTCTTTAAAAAGAGGTAGCCTCACACGGGCACGCCCTGTTTTCCCCTCGGGCTTCCTCCATCTTCTTGCTGGGAACCGAAACCACCATCTTGGAACCTAAGGGAAAAGCCACAGGAACCTCAGGGGCAGCTCTGACCCGGATGCCTGTGAGCTACTGAACCAGGCAGTGCCAGCAGGAGCTGACCCCCCAGCCTCCACGCCACCCAAGAACAAAGCAGACCACCAAAAAGAAAATTTTCCTCTGCAAGGAAAAAATATCTTGCCTGAAGAATATGTGCATATTCAGTAAGTTTAAGTAACTTCATAGAATTATATTAGGAGAGGGCAATGGTAACCCACTCCAGTACTCTTGCCTGGAGAATCCCATGGACAGGGGAGCCTGGTGGGCTGCAGTCCATGGGGTCGCTGAGATTCAGACATGACTGAGTGACTTCACTTTCACTTTTCACTTTCATGCATTGGAGAAGGAAATGGCAACCCACTCCAGTGTTCTTGCTTGGAGAATCCCAGGGATGGGGGAGCCTGGTGGGCTGCCGTCTATGGGGTCGCACAGAGTTGGACATGACTGACGTGACTTAGCAGCAGCAGAATCATATTAATAGAACAAAAGTTTATTTGAACCCACCAAAGCCTCAACAGACCAGAGGTGGAAGAAATGAGCAGGTTTATTGTGTAAAATAGCTGCTATTAAGGCAGATAAGAGGATGTTTAGATTAATCCATCAAGAAGTTTTTCTTTGAGTGTCTATTATGTTCTGATTACCCTTCTGAACACAGGTCTACCCTTCTGCTTATCCAAATTCTCATATGGTAAGATGCTAACTACTCAGATACTTAATCATATCATTATTTCATCTATAACTTTATTTTGTATAGACAAAGTAAAAAATGAAGAATTTATCATTGATTTCCTTAATTCAAACCCCCCAAAAAGAAATATCAACATCAACAACCTACAACTCAATTTTTAATTCTCCCTTGTATGTAACATAGACATCTGACAGCAATTTCCTAATGGTCTCGGAATTTTAATTAATTGTGGATTTAGCTTAAATAAGCACAAGTACCTTAGAGGAGTTATAAAAATTAAAAACAGAGTACAGTGTTCTGCAAGTACTTTCTTTGCATTACATCAGTATATCCTTAGTATTCTGCAAGTCTCTATATTAGTAGTTATGGAGAATAAAAAAGCATTTACCACTATCCTAAATGGTTTTACCATTGACAATGTTCAGAATTTTGGCCATTAAAAATGTTCGACTCTATTGCACTTATTTTGAAACTATAGGCAAAATTGGAAACATGAAATGTCAAGCTAAAAATGGGGTATTGCATTTTTTTTTTTTACTCACCTAGTTCCAAGTTTCCACCCCTGCAAGTGAACCAAAAACAAATCCTGGCACCTTGTCATTCCCAGAAAAGCCAGTGCATGGCACACTCTGGGAAAACTTTCTCTTATTCTGTGGAATCACACCAGATGGTATCAGTCCTGCATCTACAGCTGTGCTTAAAACTGAAGTTCAGACACAGGAATTGACTTTATTAGATATTTTAGATTTCAGGTGTGACTGTGATGGCATTCTTAGCCAACATAAAATGTTTATCTTTTCAAGTAGAACTGAAGATTAATTGTATTTTCAAGTTTGGAAATCAGTGAAACAATCAAGATCATCCTAATAAAATTTGAGTCATTTAAAATAGCTGAAATTTAGAAACAACAGTGAAATAAGAACAGTTGAAATAGAATACTAATATAACAACTGAATTATGGCCCGTTTCCTTATGATATAAGAAATTCAACTCAGCTTCTAACATTGCTAAAGAATCACTAAAAACCTCTCACTGAAAATAAAATATAGCAATTTTCTATAATCAAGTTATACTTATATAATGAGCAGTTATTTTAAATGTTCCTGACTTTTCAAATGCTTTAATGTCTAGCTCATATGTACACTGTCTTCAAAAACAGACTTAGTGTAGTGATTGTCAGGACCTGGGTGTGGTCAGCGGATGGAGCAATCAATATCTACAAGCCTATCACCTAAACCATTGTGGATGTTGGAGCACTAGATCAAGGATGTATACAAGTTGGGACTTCCCTGGTGGTCCAGTGACTAAGACTCTGAGCTCCCAATGCAGGGGGCTTGGGTTCAATCCCTGGTCAGGGAACTATATACCACATGCCACAACTAAGATATGCTGCAACTCACATGCCAATATGGGCACAACCAAGTAAATAAATACTTTTTTTTGAAAAAAGAATGTATACAGGTAGCAAAAAATTTGAGTTCAAAAGTAGTTCTAATGTGAGATCAGTCTATGTTGGGTTTTGAAAACCAACAACTGAATAAATGAATAGAACAAGGCAGTATGAGAATCTTTAATTCCTAGGGTTTAGGGCAGGCTCAAGGCAGAGGTTGGACAAAAGGAGTAAGTACTCATTTTTGCCTGTAGATATGGGAACTTAGTAACTCATGAATTAGATTCTGAGGAGGTCGTAAAATGGCACTGGCCACAAAAGCGAAAGGCAACCACTCCTTTCGTAGGAAGTTGAGTTAATAGAACCAGCAAAGAAACTGACTTAAAACTGGGATAGCAGCAAACTACTCACCCTGAGTTCTCTAGTCTCCTGTCTAGAAGAATCAGGGGCGGTTTAAACTTTTGGACACCAGTGGCATTACTAGGAAGAATAAAGGATTATAAAATCAAGTCAAACATGTGGTTAAAATAATTTGCATTCTGATTATTTATAAAGTTGAAGTGATTGTTTTCATCCTTATAAGCTATTACTGCTTATTAACTATTCCTATACTCATCTTCAAAGTCTGTAATAACCATACAACTGTATAATTAAATGTCACTATTGAGGTATTAACAAATTAGAGAACTACTGTTCAAAGTGTAATTTAGAATCACTGTAGTTGATTCTGGGATTCAAACTGGGAATTCAAATAAAGTCTTATTATACATCCCATAAAGAGAGGTATGTGTGTGTATATATATATACATATATATACATACATATATATGTATGAATTTACTTATGACATTTAAAATTCATATGTATATGAATTCATATATATACATACATATGTATGAATTTACCTATGACCTTATATTTAAAATAAACTGCTTACTTTATTCACAACAGCTCCATTCCAGTAAAGTGAAATAGAAAATGTAGGAAGTTATCTGAATGTCTCATACCAAAACTTTCCCCGTAAGTAGTGAGATTATTTTTCCTTCTACCGAATTATTAAAATAATTGTCTTCCACTTCACTTTCATATTCTCAATTTAGGTTACTACTTAGCATTTTGTTGTTTTTAGCCTTTCTACATGGTCAGTCTTTGTGCTTAAAATTAATGTGTTTTCAGTGTTACAGTCATGATATGGATGGCTTATCTTACCCTAAACATGGCTGAACCAAAATCTTCCCTTATTGAAAAGACAAACTATATCTGCATTACATATTTCAACTTCAAGAACCCCTGTTCTATTTTCCAAAAGGGCATATTTATCAATCGCAATCATTTCTCATATCCCATTCTAATTTTTATGATCCTCTACCTAGATGCTGTACTAGGTTGGGAATGGGCTTGACTCCTTGGTTTCTATAGAAGCTCACTGGCTCTGGGAAGGAGAGAGCCCTTTATGTCACTGCACCCATTTCCTTCATCCTAAACCCTCACTTTTGTAAGGGCCTGTGTCTTTCGAAGTTTACCCAGGGGCGAAGCAAAACCAAGGGTGATCCCTGCTTACCATGGCAGCAGCCGTCCGTCTCTGGTTACGCCCGCCTGGCTACCGGCCTGGAACTCCACCGTCCTCCACACACCAGCGCAGGGCAGCAGCTCCGCTCCAGAACCTGAGATGGCCAAGGCTGAGGGAAGAGCGCCTGGAAGATGGAGTCATTCCCAAACTAACATTGCTGGAGGGTACTTAGGGCACCCGCGTGAGAAGTTACTTCAGCCCGTCAATCTAACCATTCTAATCACCTACGACAGCCTAAGCCCATCATTCTAATCCCCTAGGACAGCCTGGCAGAAACGTCAGCCTCGATCTTCCCGTGTTATCCATCCCTGTTGCCCTACCACGCGTAAATGGCCTCATTTCTTCAGCCCTCCATGGCAACCCCAAGAAATCTCCCAGTGACTCCCACTCTAATGCTCACCCTCCTGCTGATTCTAAACCCACCCGTCGCAGCAATCCGCAGGCACCTACAGGGTCGGAGTCTAGAATAGGAGCAGGGATCAGGAGGAAGGGGAGATACCCCATAACAAATGGGCCACTGAATCCCCTCTCCCGCGCACCACCACTTGAACCCCACGTAGGGTCTACCACAGCACAGACATTCAAACAGTATGTGGAATACTCCCAGTGTGACCTGTTTTCTCCTGTCTCTTATCCCAAAGGTTAGGTTGACATTCGATTTTGTTTGAAAGTGCCTGGACTGAATCATCTGAATAATTTAGTTTTGGATCCCTGGGGTACAAGATAAAAATGCAGTTGGACTGGAAAGAAGAGCTAGCGGGTGCTCAAAGCCATTCTAGCTTCAAAAGCTGAACTTCTCTCTCTTCTGTATCTCTACCCGCCCCGGAAAAGCTTAGGGTCCCTCCCTAAAAGCACACCACCAGCCCAGACCCCAGGCACCCGTCATCCCTGACATCCCAGCGCGCCGTGAGCCCTCAGCTTCCCGGAGGAGCAGAGAAACTCGCCCATTTGCCAACAGCTCCCATGCCCAAACGGACCTGCCAGCGAGGCAGCCGAGCCTGGCCCTAGAACCCGGGCGGCCGTGCGGCCAGAGAATGGAGGCGAGCCCCGGCCCGGTGCCCGCACGGTTCCATGCCCTCCCGCCAGTGTGCGCGCGGCGCCCGTCACACCGCTTGCTCGCGGGAGAAGCCCCAAGGCTCCCGGTGCAGGGAGAGACGCCCGGGCTGGAGCGCCCCGGCCGTATTGGCCACCGAGTTCTTCAGCTGCTTGATGACCACGAAGAGCAGGAGGAAAAGTAAGAAGAGCAGAAAGAAGAAGAGCGCCAGGTAGAGCAGAAAGTTGAGCTCCCACTCCATGCTGGAGGCGCCGGCGCTCAGCGGCCGTGCGCGCTCCGCGCGGGTTGCCTTTGCGGGTGAGGCGCGCCTGCAGGTTCCCACCTCCAGGCTCCTCCCGCCCGCGCAAAGGCGCCTCGTCTTGGGCCACGGTTCGGAGGTCCACACGCAGCCTCGTCCCACTCAGAGGAAACGCGCCAAGGAGCCGGTGTAACCCTGGCTCCCACCCTCCCAGTAGGCACAACAGCCTCTCTACGCCAAGATGCTCTGCAGAGCTCTTGGGGACATGAGCAGATTTTTCTAGGATCGAACTTCAGTGGGTGGAGACACAGGGAGAAGAGGTGACGGCTCAGCCTCCCAGCGGGTGTTGGGGCTGATGTTTTGCAAATGATTTTAAGATTTCCACTTCCAACATCTAGTGGGGTCTCTACCCTTTCTCCTTCCTAGTAGATTTGTTTCGTTATTTTCCCTTGTCCAGGCTTTCCCAAAGGTCAGGCAAAGCTATGGCCCAGAGACCCAAAAGCGACAGTGAAGGCGGGGTCCAAAGGGCTGCGAGATGACTTAAGGGTGCCTGAGTGAATGCCAGTTCAAGCTGCCTTGCTCTTCAGACTTGCAAATGTCCTCAGTATAGAGCGGCACTCATTTAGAAAAGCATTAAAGAGAAAAATGCATTTCTAGTTAAATTGTACGAAGCCCTCTGAGGTCGACTGAGAATCCAATTTCTTTGGTGGAAAACAAAAACAACACAAAAAACAAGTTACTTAAAATGCTTCCTTAAGCCCCTACCACCTCTCTGTAGTTAAGATTACCCACAGTCCATACGGAACAGCTCTGAAAAAAAATCCAGTTTATCTACCACTGTGTAACAAATTACCCAAGAACTAAGTGGCTCAAAACAACATAAACGTTCATAGCTCACAGTTTCTGTGGGTCAATAATTTGGGAGCACTTTGCTGGGTGATTCTGACTTGGGGTTTCTTAGGAGCCTACCATCAGATGTTAGCCCAAGAGGCAGTCCTCTGAAGGCTTGTCGGGAGCTGGAGAATCCACTTCCGGGGTAGCTCACTTGCATGGCTGGCAAGTGGTGCTGGCTGTCGGGGGGTCTCAATTCCTTCCTGTGTGGGCTTCCCCACAGGGCTGCTTGGGTGTCTGCACAGCCCTCTGCTGGCAACCTGCAAAGCACAGGATCCCAGAGCTGAGGGCACTTCCCCCAGGGGTCCGAAAGGAGGCAGAAGCTGTAGCGCCATTAACAGTTGGCTTCAGAAGGCATACGCTGTCACTCCTGCAGTACTGAATCAGCCGCACAGGTCAGCCCTCTTCGATGTAGGGGACATTGGTGGCCAACGTGGTGTACAGCTGTCAAAGCTGCTAACACAATGGGTCATCACTGCCCACTCTGTGAGCCTCCGACTTTATTTCATTCCTTATTTGTGAAGACACAAGAGAGGCCCCTGAAATGAATTTGGGGAATAAGGGCTGACATACAACATCCCAGATTATTTAATGGGCTGTCTGCAATAAGTGGCTCTCCCAGTAAAGGCAGGGGGTTCAAAGAAATAGGATGGCATGGGAAAAGCTGCGAACTGGAAATCTCAAAGTCCCAATTCTAGTCTCAGCTCCACATGGCAGGGGTCTTCAGCTCTTGGACTCTCCATCCCCTCACCTGTTACATATCTTGCTTCCCTTTTTCTTGAGTTTGTTGTGAGGATCAAAAATGATTGGGATGTTGAGTAAGAATGTGTTTTGCTAAGTAAATGACAGACACTATTATTATTCTGTTGCTGAGAGTCCCCATTTTACTGCTTTGCAAAATCCCCAGGCCCTAGGCCTCTCCACCAAGCATCTTACTGTGTAAGGAATCTCTCGAGTCTCTCTATCTGTTTATCTCAATAACATTACAGATCCACTTCATGGGCAATAGAATGCTGGCTCAAAGTTTTTTTCAAAAATTTTGCAAGCCATGTGCTAAAATACAGCTATCATTAAAAATGAAATCATTTAAGTGCATGCATGAGTACTCAATCATGTCCTACTCTTTGTGACCCCATGGACTGTAGCCCACCAGGCTCCTCTGTCCATGGGACTTCCCAGGCAAGAATCCTGGAGTGGGTTGCCATTTCCTCCTCCAGGGGATCTTCCCAACCCAGGGATTGAACCCATGTCTCCTGTGGCTCTTGCACCGGCAGGCAGATTCTTTACCACTTGAGCCACCTGGTCATTCCCTTATTGTATAAACTTACAATTAAATAAATTATGTTAACAAAGGTAAGGAATACTCAAAACTCATCACTTCCTAATTACTTCACCAGACTTTACTATCATCTATGCATTGGAGGTTATTTACATCTGTCCGAGCTATACAGCTGAAATGTTACCTAGTGGTACACTAGTGTGCATCTCCAGCCACTCTGATGTCATGGAGGTAGCTTGAAATTGGCCACAGTAGGAGCATTTGCCCTGTGGCAATGTACAAGTGCTACAAATCAAGGCCAGAGAACCAGTTGTTAAACATTTACCAGCTGGGTCATATGGCAGTTCTATTTCCAGCTTTTTAAGAAATCTCCACACTGTTTTCCATAGTGGCTGTACTAATTTGCATTCCCACCAACAGTGTAAGAGGGTTCCCTTTTCTCCACACCCTCTCCAGCATTTATTGCTTGTAGACTTTTGGATAGCAGCCATCCTGACTGGTGTGTAATGGTACCTCATTGTGGTTTTGATTTGCATTTCTCTGATAATGAGTGATGTTGAGCATCTTTTCATGTGTCTGTTAGCCATCTGTATGTCTTCCTTGGAGAAATGTCTGTTCAGTTCTTTGGCCCATTTTTTGATTGGGTCATTTATTTTTCTGGAGTTGAGCTGGAGGAGTTGCTTGTATATTTTTGAGATTAATCCTTTGTCTGTTGCTTCGTTTGCTATTATTTTCTCCCAATCTGAGGGCTGTCTTTTCACCTTGCTTATGCCATATGACCCAGCAATCCCACTTCTGGGCATACACACTAAGGAAACCAGATCTGAAAGAGACATGTGCACCCCAATGTTCATCGCAGCACTGTTTATAATAGCCAGGACATGGAAGCAACCTAGATGCCCATCAGCAGACGAATGGATGAGGAAACTGTGGTACATATACACCATGGAATATTACTCAGCCATTAAAAAGAATTCATTTGAATCAGTTCTAATGAGATGGATGAAACTGGAGCCCATTATACAGAGCGAAGTAAGCCAGAAAGATAAAGACCATTACAGTATACTAACACATATATATGGAATTTAGAAAGATGGTAACGATAACCCTATATGCAAAACAGAAAAAGAGACTCCGATGTATAGAACAGACTTGTGGACTCTGGGAGAAGGCGAGGGTGGGATGTTTCAAGAGAACAGCATCGAAACACGTATATTATCTAGGGTGAAACAGATCACCAGCCCAGGTTGGGTGCATGAGACAAGTGCTCGGGCCTGGTGCACTGGGAAGACCCAGAGGGATCGGGTGGAGAGGGAGGTGGGAGGGGGGACCGGGATGGGGAATACATGTAAATCCATGGCTAATTCATTTCAATGTATGACAAAACCCACTGCAATGATGTAAAGTAATTAGCCTCCAACTAATAAAAATAAATGAAAAAAAAAAAAAAAAACATTTACCAGCATATCACTCCTCATAGAGTTACTGAGGAAAATCTGAAGTCTTACATGAGTAAAACAGATAGATGTGATTTTTTTTTTTTTTGACTACCCAGAATCCACACACCTCTGCTCTAGGCACCACATATTCCTACCGGTAGAATTCTCTATTTTATGTACTGTTGGCAAAAGGACAGATCCTAGTGACTGCTTTCTATTGCCACCTCCCACTGTGGAAATCAAGTAGGTCAGATACATCTTCTACTCACTCCTGATACAGTGAAGGGAGGGCAGGAAGAGCCTTGCCAGGATCTCACCCATGTTTCCTTGGTTCCAGGACTCTGAAGCTTGAGAGCAGATGGGACAGGACAAAATGTTTGGAGGTCAGATGCATTATGGGGCAGAGGGGCTCCCAGGCCAGACCAGCTCCCGGAGTGACAGGCAGGGCTCTTGCTGCTGCGTCTGTGGCATCCTTGACTCCTGCCCTTTTTCTAAACTGCCTCTTTCCTATTCTCTGAACCCCCACTAGCTTTCCAGTAAATCTCTTTATTGCAGAAAAGCATTAGTGGTTAATGACAGCTTGCAGATGAGAATAATGACTGAAAAAGGAAATATGACGTACACACTTTGCATATGTCAAGCACTCATAATCAACAAGGTGTCTGGTAGAAAAGGCATATGCCACTTGGCACATTGCCACTGGATAGTCAAGCTGTTAAAGGATGGACATTGAGGCACACAGAGGTTAAGCGACCTGCCCAAAACCACACAGCTGGTAAGCGGTAGGCTGCATTCCCAACCCTTATTTATTTCATGGGGGAAAGTGCTCTTTTCTTGTCTTTGACTGTCAAATCAATGACTGTTTTTTCTTTTTGAGTGTCAAACTTGAAAGAAACAAAGAGACACATTCCTTCTGCTTACACATATCTCATCTCCTTCCTTTGAAATCTTGAAGGTTGAAGCTTCAAATGAACCAGTGTTTCCCTACAGAATGCCAAGGAAAGAGGCCAAGAAATAAGGATTTTATGTCACCAAACTCAAATCCACTTCAGCCTTCCTAACTGTAACTATTTAGATTATCCATTTATCTCAGCAGCTTAAATGAATTTATAAATATTGACTAATAAATCCTCATATTCACTCTCAATAAAATTTGTATTTAAAATAATATTGCTGCCACAAAAATAACATATTACATTTATTAGATGCTCCCAATGTTTTTTAGCCTCTGGCCATATTTATATATCTCATAAGATGGTCTCAATTTCAGTTCATATTATTACAAGTGACTCCATAGGAATAAGACACCATCTTTCTCCGCCTAAATATGCATTCAATAGAAATCCTTAGAAAGCAAATCCATGAATTTTAAAAACCAGAAGGACACTCGCTGT